CGTACACACACACGGCGACACACGCCTTCCCAAGAAAATACGTGAACCTGACACACAGGTCACAACTCCATAATCACGTCACGGCCACCACGAGGACCGCTGCAATACCTTGGTGACTAGTGTCCCATACCACTAATCGTGCAATCCAGGTAAAGCCACACACGCATCAGACCTCAACAGGAATCAATCAACGGATTACAACGAAGGTATGAAACATACTCAATCAAGGAATGGGTCACAGCCCAACAACATCAACGATGAATAACACAAGTTATCATCAACCAATCGGAAGGTACAAACAACACACACACTAGCATTTAGACACCAAACTAGCATGCTTATCAAACGGATAAACCAAAGGAAGTTCCGAGGAACACACAAGACACATCACGGTTCAACGAAACACAATGTTGAACACTTAGCACGATTCAAGACAACAAAGTCCTACATGGATACCTACCATATAGTTCTAGACATACGAAACATCAAGAAGACACTCAAATAGTTACACAAAAGAACATCGGGAAGTCCAAAGACCGAATACCGAGTCAAAAGAATCACGGGAAACAAATCCCCAAAACAACTCCACTTGTGTACTCGCGGGTGGACCCACGGGTAGGCCCCTACCCGCGGCTCCGCCCGCGGGTACTGGCCTCCCACCTTGTGTACCCTGCGGGTGGGCCTCCTACCCGCCGTTCCGCCCGCGGGTACAACCTGTACCACAACACCACACTTCGCGAAATTCATATCCAAACACAAATTCAAGTCCAAAACATGTCAAATCTCACCCAATACAACAAAATGACTTGAATCATAGGAAATGCCAAGCAATGGCACAAGAGAACCCTAAACACAAGCTCTAGATATGCATTTTCACAAGACAAATGCATAAACACTCACATTTCATAGCAAAACACAAGTAAAATCCAAGAAATCACATATAGGTAAGCAAAATAGATTTTGTAGAGCATGGGTTACCTCATTCGCTTATCCAACCAAAACAACGCCAACATAGGTTAGGCTCAACACAAAAACCAAGCTACCGGGAACCTGTGAATCAAACCGATCCTTCAACTATGAACACAAGCACTAATAAAACTAATTAGTGCTGCTCATAAGGGAAATTAAACCCTAGATCCTTCCTTAATTACCCACAAGCTCAACCATCTAGCCAACACTTAACACCAAAGCACCCCTTACCACTAAGCTAAACATCTTATTGGTAACTTAATCACAACAAAATTAATTAACTATTAAGCAAGCAAGAATCATAGGTAACAGCTCACCATCTTCCTTCGTCTTCTTCACGCCATTCTACTGCTCCCGCGGGTGGAACACGGTGAGATCCACCACCCGCGCCTGCTCTGCTTCGCCGGAGCTACCACGACGCCGGAGGAGGAGCTCAACGGAGGTGTGGATGTTCTGTTCAAAGGGGAGAAAGGTCGCCGCCCCAAGCTCTGTTCCGTCGCCGCCGATCCACCACCATATCGCCAGTTTGCTTCGCCAAAGATCGCAGCTTGCCGAAGCTCTGCCTCTTCTACCGAATGGAGGAGACAACGAGGGCTTGGTCACCAGAGCTTCACCACCACCTCACCACTGTTGTTCGTTGCTGCTTGGGGTACGCCGGAGGTTCGCCAAAACCGCTACTTGCCGATGATGCTCTACACTTCTACAAGAGGTCACGAGAAGAGCTAAGGAGAAGGGAAAGATGGGATGGCTTGATGCTGGTTGCAGCTTTAAACCGAGAGAGATTGACGAAGAGGAGAGGTTGCTTGGCTGCTACTGTTTGTCGAAGAAGGAAGAAGGAAATGGGGTTATTTGGTTCGTTCATGACAAAGCCGATAGGGAGAGGAGGTGCTGGAGTTAAGATCTCGGGTGCTTGGATTATTGATGATACAATGCATACACACACACTGACACAAGAGATGGTAGGGTTCACTCACTAGATGGGTTTAGGTTAGATGGGTTGGGTTTAAACACTTTGGGCTCTCTCACACACACACACACACACACACACACACACACACACACAGACACAGATATATATATATATATATATATATATATATATATATATATATATATATATATATATATATATATATATATATATATATATATATATATATATATATATATATATATATATACAAACATATGGGCTCAACTTGTGGGTTCAAGACTTATATAATATATAGTCTTAGGATAGATGGACACTTGGGCTCAAAGAATAATTATTAGGCCTTAGGGATTAAAACTCATTTTTGGGTCTAGGCATATTTTGTACAAAAATATTGGTTCACCATAATAGGTAAACCCGAGCCCGTTTTAAAATAAATAGCTATATAAATGTTTTTATTAAAAATATTTTTTATCGAGACTATAATTTATTTTTAGGAAAATACCGGGTGTCACAGGGGGTAGTGTCAGAAGTGTTGGGGGTTGTTTACTGTTGGATTCCGGTGGGTTAATAGGGGTGTTCCGGCGGGACGGGGGGAGGGGGTACTGTGTAGTTTTGGGTGGTGTTGGGGTTGTCGGTTTTTGTGGGTTTTTTTTTTTTTTTTTTTTTTTTTTTTTTCTTGTTCTAGGTAACTATGAGATTTTTTTTTTTTTTAAATGTTTTTCCATTGGTTTCACCAACCTTGTTTTACACACGTAAGAAGCTTTCAGTTTGCCAGGCAAATATTTCCACAACTCTATTTTTTCCCCACTTAAAGAATTATGCATATTTTATGTTTCCATTTGCTTATCCTTCATAGTGCAATTTGATATCCAGCTCCTCCAGAGTCTCAAGGCTACTTGCTGGTTCATGCAAATGGTGGACTTAATCAGATGAGGGCTGGGGTTTGTATTCTTTTCTCTCTGATTTATTTTGCATTAGAGTTATTAATACAATTCCAAGCCAAGATGAGATAGCTCGCATTTGTTGAAGTAGATAAAGAGTTTTTGATGACATGAGCAGATATATTTGAAGTACCGATGAGTGCGCTGGTGTGGGGAAGTGTGTGCGCTTGTTGGTCATATTTGAACGTTAGGATTCAATAATGTTGGTTTTGTCTTAAGTATCCGGAATATATTTTGTTTTCTTTTTTTTATTTATTTTATTTATTTTATTTATTTTATTTTTGTGTATGTAAGGTAGCTTTAATCGTCATTTGCTTTTCATGTTCTCATTTATTATAATATTGTAGATCATATTGTAATGCAATTAGTTTGTGTGTTCTTGGGGTGACGTTTGTGCGTAATTCTGTAATTGCTAATTGGTTGGTGCATTCTAATTAATTTGCTAGTGCGTAATATTGGGCTGGTGGGATCCCGATTCTGGTTTGTGCACTGTGGGGGGGGGGGGGGGGGGGAGGGGGAGTGGGTGCTCAGGAGTATGATAATTATTTTTACTATTTTGTGGTAACTTTTGTTGGTAACTATGCATTAATTTCGGTATGACTAGGTGTCACGGCTGTAGAGACGGTAGATGCGGTAGAGGCTGTACATTTGATGCCGTCTGAGGTTGTTGAAGCACCCCCTGTTCCGCAACCAGACACGGATTCTGATAGCTCGGATGATGGGCTAGATGCGGATGATTAGATAATTGTAATTCTATTAATGAGATATTTGAAAAATTGTTGTTATTTTTTTGAATGCTTAAATTCATATATTTTATTTTATTGTATTTTTATAAACTTAGTATTCACCATCTAATTCGTATACTATTCATCGAATCCACCTTAGTTTATATTGAATTACATCTGTATATTCCACATTACATACTGTGTAGCATATGGGAGTAGAAATTAGTGTGTGCGTTCTTGGGGTGAGGTTTGTGCGTTATACTATAATACACAAACGCACACGCCGGCGTGAACAAACCCATTATAATACTAATGCCCATGATGCACACTCCGTCTTAAACAAACGCACACACCAGAATTCATGCACTAACCAAATAACACACATACAGTCTAATTCATACAAAATGAGCACACAATTTCATCCAGGTTTGTGCGTTATACTGTAATACACAAACGCACACGCCGGCGTGAACAAACCCATTATAATACTAATGCCCATGATGCACACTCCGTCTTAAACAAACGCACACACCAGAATTCATGCACTAACCAAATAACACCCATACAGTCTAATTCATACAAAATGAGCACACAATTTCATCCAGGTTTGTGCGTTATACTGTAATACACAAACGCACACGCCGGCGTGAACAAACCCATTATAATACTAATGCCCATGATGCACACTCCGTCGTAAACAAACGTACACACCAGAATTCATGCACTAACCAAATAACACCCATACAGTCTAATTCATACAAAATGACTACACAATTTCATCTAGGTTTGTGTGTTATACTGTAATACACAAACGCACACGCCGGCGTGAACAAACTCATTATAATACTAATGCTCATGATGCACACTCCGTCGTAAACAAACGCACACACCAGAATTCATGCACTAACCAAATAACACCCATACAGTCTAATTCATACAAAATGAGCACACAATTTCCTTTCACGCACACGCCGTAGAACCTGGATGCACAGACCAACGTACAAAGTTAATTACATACTTAAGTCAGCAACTCTCATAATACAATTTCAATTACTAATGCACAGACCAATGTACAAAGTTAAACTCCTACCGACATTGTCTAGAATTGACTACAACTTATTTCCATAATATTTGTAATCTTTGATTATGATAAAGATTTCAATCTAATTCTAACCAAAATTAACACATTAATACAATTACTTTTAAACCCTTTATTTAAAATATGCCCTTATTTACATTATATTCATCATTCAATCTCATCCATCCATTACAAGTTTATAAATGGATGTAATCTCATCTCACCATCTCATTTAATAAGGGGGTCTGCACCCTCTATATATATATATATATATATATATATATAAAATTTACCACCTTAAAACTAACTGAGTTATCTACAATCCAAAATCTATTTCTAAATGTAGGATGTCCAGTAACATTCACGCAAACGTTTTTGGTACAAATTCCTATATTACATTTTTTGTTGTCTTCGGCTTCCTTTACGCATCAGCCCCTTTCTTATCTTCAAGACTTCAACACCCACCACCCCCCTCTCTTCCATTCCCGGCGGCAAGCGGTCACCAAACCTACCGGTTACCCCTCTCCTCTCTCCGATTTCAGTTCTTGAATCGTCAGAGCACATCAGATCTGCAAAGATGATGCACATGACCTTCTACTGGGGCAAAAACGTGACCCTTTTGTTCGATTTCTGGAAAACCGATTCTTGGACCAGCTACACCCTCACCTTGCTGGCCTGTCTCATCTTCGCCGTCTTCTACCAGTACATGGAGGAGCGCCGCCAGCGGTTCAAGCTGATCTCCACCCTCAGCGCCAAGAAGGGCTTCGACGGCCCCTGCTCGGTTCCGCCATCGTCTCAGCCAAGCCCCATCAACGCGCCGCTCCTTTACTCCCTCCCGACCTTGACCGTGGGTGGCCGCCGGTATGCGGCGAGGTTCGCCGGGGCTGTGCTTTTCGGGGTCAACTCCGCGATCGGGTACATGCTGATGCTGGCCGTCATGTCGTTCAACGCGGGCGTGCTGATCGCCGTCGTGGTGGGCCTCTCCGTGGGGTACCTGCTCTTCCGGAGCGGCGGCGAGGAGGACGTCGTGGTGGTGGATAATCCCTGCGCCTGTGCTTGAAATTCGATACCCTTTCCAGTCTCAATCCCCCACCTTAATCAATTATCATCATATGTATATGTATATAATGTTCTGAATGGATCTGAATCATTTTCTAATTTTATCTTTGGCTTTTGCAATTTCTATTACTCCTAATTAGCCAGTTGCTTTGATCTGGTTGAAAGCAAATTTCCTAATTAGCCATGGTTCGATACTTTACTTTGGATATGGAGCAACCTTGGATCAACTATCTCACTTATTAAAGGTGTTTACAATTCAATTAGGAAATTAATTAGCTGAGTTAATCATTGCGTCCGATAATAAAAATCAGAGTACAATCAAAATTAATTGTCTCACCTATTATAGATGTCTACAATTTAGCAAAGGAATTAATCATTATGTAGCCATAGTGGTTTCCTAATTAGCCAAGGTTTGATACTTGACTTTAAATATGGAGCAACCTTACATCAGCTGTCTCGCTCATTAGAAGTGCTTACAATTTAATTAGGAAACTAATCACAGTATCCGACCTGAGTACAATCGAAATTAACTGTCCCACTTATTAAAAGTGTTTACAATTCAACGAAGGGATTAATTATTGTGTCCAATAATAAAAACTCGGGTAGAATCAAATTAGCAAATTGCTTTGGTCTGGTGGCTGAAAGCATGAAACTGAACCTAAAAAATGGTACGGTACAAGATAAGTAGGTGTTGCCCTAGACAAGGATAAAATGTAGAGTTGTTTAGCTGTAAACATGTCTTGAGGAGTATAACACTCTGTTTGAGAAATTAGGAAGTACATAATCATGTCAGAAGGAAAAGAAAATTCACAACAGATTTTAGTCTAAGAATATTCTTCTCGATCTAAAGAATGCACATCTCATTATCATCATCATCACCATAGCCAACTGCTGATGCCTTTTAATATGATGATAATCCTACAGTTGTGTTTCGTGAAGCTTGCCAATACAGTAGAAAATCACAGCTGTTCCAGCCCAATTCGAAAGAAAGAATGATAGATTTTGATTCAGCTTTAATGTCTGAATGGAAAAAGAAACCGAAGAGGAACACGTGAGCAGGAGTGAGACAAACCGTTTATCTTCTATGCACAAATAGTATGATGCCGGCAGAGCAGGTTTCTCGGTTTCTTGCTTTAGTACATTTCCCCTTCACCAAATCACCTAGTGATGTACAAGTGCAAAGATCTCAGTGCTATTGTTGATTCTCAACTTTTAATGGAATTAGTTCACTGTCTTGCTGTTGGCCACTTGACCTCAAGCTCTTGGGAAACCATCTGCGTAAGCTTTCTGGCAATCTGGATGAATACATGCCAAACAAGAAATGAATATTTTTTATTAACTTATTTACTATCTTTCCTGTTTCTGGTTTTAGGGCGAATGGGGGTGGGTGGGGTTCATGTATCAAAATTACAGAATTTGAGTAACAAAGCCTTACAGGTCTAATCTTTCATGAATTGCCCGTCGCACTGATGAGTTCAGGCCATATGCTATTGAGTTAAAAAGACCCTAAGACAAGAGCATAGACAAGGTTAAATACTAAATCAATACTTGCCCATTATTACAAAAAGGCAGAAAGAGACAACAAAAGAGCTTGTTGATACTCTAAAGTGTGAATCTTGGAAGAATACAGAATAAGGAAGATGAATAATCATTTTGAAGTCAATGTGACCCTTACACATGATTCTCTCAAGTGCTTCTACTCTTTATAAAAATAAAATGGTAATTATAGTAATTTGTTAGATCACATTCTAAGACACCTAAGTAATCAGTGATAATTCAACTTTGTTGGTGGTGTATGGAAATTAGAAAGACATCAAGGAAACACATTAAATTTCTTATAAAAGAATTAAAGCACAAACATGGATATACAAATAACTATTTAACAATCATAATCAATATCAATTAAAAGTCCCAAATATCTATGCTGTGCAAATTTCAAAAATTAAGAAGCATATATCCCAGGAGCCTGGATAAATAAATTCTCCACAGGATGCATGTACTCGTTAGAAATACTAACCATAAGAGCAGCCATGCCAACGTCAAGTACTGAAAGCCAAAAGATTTTATGGTCTGGTTCAATAAAATCATGTATGCGATTTACTGTGGCAAAAAACCATGAACCTATCAGAATAAGCGGATAGTAGCCCCATCGACTCATCGCCTGTAAAGCAGTCATTATTAGGAAAAATTAGGCAATTTAAATGAAAACTAGCATAATGACACATTTAGGGTGCGTTGAATATTTTTTTGTATATTAATGAAAATTCAGAACCGCTGGGAACTAAACTATGCAACTTAATTGCTCAACCATGATTCATGACAACAATAGCTCTTCAGTTATCCAAGAAATTATATCATACAGATTTCAAGAACAGTGAATTTTAGGGTGTGTTGAATATTTTCTTAGGAAACCCGGGGGAGTGAGAAGAGAGGGGTGCAGAGATGAGAGAATAATTTTGACTTCCACCTAATTTGAGGATTATGACGAGTAAAAACTTCATGATTTAACTTTCCTTCCCTTTCTTTGGTAAGATGAAGCTAGGAAATTGGGAGCATTGTATAGGAAGGATAAAAAGTGTGTCCAATCCTTAGTAAGGTGGAAATCAGCAATGTACACCTTGTCACAATAAAAAATAAATCCTTTATATAATAAAGCTATATAGTTTGGGAAATAATTAATGTTACAATTAATGCCACAACATCTTTTATTATTAAAAAAAAAAAAAAAGCACAACATTTAAAAAATAAAATAGCTATATATTATATAATCATATAAAAATATACTTTTGAAAAATAAAATAACTATATATTATATAATCATATAAAAATGTGTTCAATTAGAGTTTAAATTTACACATACAAAATTTGAAATTTGCTTTCCAAATGTAATTATCTTAGGGTCCGTTTGGAAAGCTGGAAAATGACTTTTGGAAAATGTTTTCTGGAAAATGAGTCATTTTCCGGAAAACATTTTCCTTTCCAGTGTTTGGTTGCATTCTGGAAAACTGTTTTTGTGTGTTTGGTTCATTTTCTGGAAAATGAGTAGAATTGTATAATTAAACATTTTAATTATTTTATTTAGAATATTACAACATGTATAATAATATATAATAATATAATAATAATTTTAAATATAATAAAATAATAACTAATAATATATCAAAAATATTATGGTGGTGGTGGTTGTGTAGTGTAGTGGTGTTATTTGTTATATAATAATAATAATAATATTAATAATATTAATAATAATAATAATAATAATAATAATAATAATAATAATAATAACTGGTAGTGGTATGACAGTGGTGGCAGTGGTGGTAGTGTGGTGGCGATGGTTGTAATGGTATGGTGGTGGTGGTGGTGGCGGCGACGGTGGTTGCGGTGGTATGGTGGTGGTGGTGGCGGTGGTATGGTCGTGGTGGTGGCGGCGGTGGTGTGATGGTGGTGGTGGTTGCGGTGGTAAGGTGGTGGTGGCGGCAACGGTGGTATGGTGATGGTGGTGGCGGCGACGGTGGTTACGGTGGTATGGTGGTGGTGGTGGCGGCGGCGGTATGGTGGTGGTGGTGGCGGTGACGATGGTTGCGGTGGTATGGTGGCGGCGACGACAGTGGTTGCGGTGGTATGGTGGTGGTGGCGGCAGCGGTGGTATGGTGGTGGTGGCGACAGCGGTTGTATGGTGTTGGTGGTGGTAGTGGTTGCGGTGGTATGGTGTTGGTGGTGGTAGTGGTGGTGGTGTGGTGGCGGTGGTTGCGGTGGTATAGTGGTGGTAGCGGCGGCAGTAGTGGTGGTGATGGTGGTAGTGGTATGGTGTTGATGATGTTGGTGGTGGTGTGATGTTGGTGTAAAAGTTGGAAAATGACTTCCCTCCAAAAAAAAGGGAAGTCATTTTCCTCCAAAACAAGCCTATTTTCCAAAGTCAACGGAAAATGATTTCCGTTGACTTGATTTTCCAGGCACATCCAAACACTGAAAACTTGGAAAATGATTTCCAGAACTCATTTTCCAGGTTTCCAAACACACCCTTAGTTATTATTCGTTTTGTGAAAATTATAATATAGATGAAATACAATTAAGAAGAAATCAATGTAATTATGTAAATTCTCTCTATAAATTTATTTGAATATGCACATAATTAGAGATTATATTAATCATACAAGATTATAATTTTAATTTTAATTGTAATTTTGTATTCTATAAAAATAATAAATACTTGACCAATGGAAGCTCAAAAATATTATTATATTAAATAATTTAAAATATTTTAGTTTTTCTATTTTTTATTTATATTTATAATAATATAATTTTTTTCCGTGCATCGCGCGGGTGAATTACTAGTAAAAGGAATAGTGGGATGTATAGCAATCCAAAACCAAGAATGTTGAAGATACTCCTGATAATGCTTCAATCCTTAATTTCACATCTATTAAGACAATTAGACATTGAATTCTCTATTAGTCTTTGGTCATATGCATCTCAGATAAATTCACCCTACCTTCATGTCTGGTCGTGCATCGGACTGGTATGCACGCTCTGACATGCCAACTGCCATCTAAACATCAAAAGTAGAATCAGTATAGAGAAAAGCTCATTTTAGACCTGCATAAGATAAACCAAGAGCCTGAATTGAAATTGAACATACACGAGTTGCGTTGTTAAGCATCCGTATTACTTGAAAGTATGTGATGCCATTGAATAGAATTGCAGCCCAGAGAGGTGCATAAAATGTAACAAAGTGAACTGCCTGCAATATATCAATTTCATTTTTGCATGTTAAACAACCCTTTGTACAAGTCAATATTATCAACTATATATGCCACACAAAACATTTTTAGCTTGGCATCATCCTTCACATTCCAGTTAGCGCAATAATCTAGAGTAGCAACTTTGTTCTTCTACATATGTATAGAAGTAATTTTTTTTGTAAAGCGCAAACAAAAATAGGAGTAGAAGTTTACTACAAGGCCATGCCAAATTGTTACAATTTCAAATGTAAGGACTGAAGAGCCATGAAAGAGGTAACCATCTTAACAAGCTTTACTGGTAAATAGCTTGCAGCTACAAAATTTCCATGAGCTAATCATCAAGTTTAGGCAGAGGAAAAAAAAAATCTCTTTTAAACA